ACAAATCTGGAAAATTTCAAGCTTGTGTATACCAACAAGAAATCTTGTAATTAAAATGTTGATCATGCTGTAATTTTGACAGTGATTTTGTGTTAGTCTGCAGATCCTATATACCTGATATTAAAGTTATAAGTGAATATATTTGGAAATGTGAACATCATGAAGCACTGTAAACATGACAATGAAATGTTTTTCCAAAAATGCTATATGAATACATTAACTTACTGTGGCTGCATGTTTGATGATATAAGGAATGCATTATTTTTACAAATTAACATGTTTTTGTCCTGAAACTTTGGTTCTCATTAGATTCAGTGGCAATTCAGAATCAATTAAACACATTATTTAAATGTTAAATATTTTTTGATGAGTAAAATATTTCAAGATGATCATGAATTGGCATCTATTTTTATTGTTTGACTTACTAAATAACTATAATTTTACTAGTATATATACCATAAAAATAATAATATAATTTCAATGAACTTCCTGAACAAACAAGTTCAGAAGTTCAGCTGCTTAACTATGATTTTCTGATATTCACAGAAATGTTTGATGGTTTTGTTAGTGATTTATGATTCACTGTCTCTTGATATTATATTCTTTCAAGATGATTATCATTTGGAGATAGATTATTTTGAGATTTTGGGCATTGAAAGTTTTTTTTTTATCTTATTAAACATAAATAAATGATCAAATTTTGATTCTGATTTAAATATGTAGTTTTCACTTCTTTTTTAAGTTTTAAAAATGCAATTAAACTTAAATTAACACAAACTATAATAGTATAAAATGTGCTAAAGGCTGCTTGCATTTGACAACTTTGATAGTCATATCATCATCTGTGGCTAATTACAGAAACAGTTGAAGTGCATTTTCATGTGCTTATAAAGAAATTATCATTGAGACTATAATCATATACATCAATTGTCAATTGCTAGAATAATTCTCAAAGTTTGTTTTTAGTTGATGAGAAAGTGTTATTTCAATGAAACCCTTCTAGACTACTAGGTTGGAAGAACTGCTGCTGCTGCTGACATTATTATTTTTTCCCCCATTGATTTCATAGTCATTGAATCTCATTTCAGTTGATTTCTTTCTCTGGGGATATACATATACAGTAGAGCGTCGTTTATCCGAATCAATTGGGGACTGGGGTGGTTCGGATAACTTATTTTTCGGATAACCAATTATGTACGAAAAAATATATTAATTTATTTTTTTATATATATATTGAATACTTCTATATATCCTACTTCCCATGACTAATTTAAACACAGCTCTCTCCGAAAAGTAATTAGCATCTGCATATTCTATATCTTCATATGCTACAACGTCTGTTTTGACCTTTTTCTCCTTATCTGCCTTCAATTCTACCGACAGCCGTCTCCCCATTTTCCTTAATGTCCCTCTCTCCTCCATCTTTAGTACTGTTAAGTCTGGCAACAAATCCACTTCAGTATTGCTGTCCTTGTCCTCTACGCCATTTCACAGCTGACCAAGAGGCGGTCGTTCAAACTAATGACCACTAGATTCAAATACCGTCCCGAACTATCAAAGCTGTCAGATTAGTAAGGTTCAACCTGTACTTACAAGAGGTAAGCGGGAATTCTGCTATGAAAATATCATGCCAGGTATATGTGCATTTGTTTTTATCTGTTAATCCTACTTCTACTTTAAGAATATTAGATGTTCGTTCAGAGCAAGAGCATGCATTCGTGCAATTAGAAGCACGACAAGTTTTTAAATCCGAAAAATATGTGTTAAATAATTGGAGGATCATTTTGCTATTATATATTTTTTTTGCCTTCAATTAGAACTAGATTTAATGTATTAATATTTAAGAAATCTGATGATCCAAAAATGTATTAATTAATAAACAAAATCCATCATTTTACTAGAAATAGTTTTCGAATTACCACAATGTTTGAATAACACTGCAGAACTACAAAAAATAATTGTAGTCTGTCAATGTTATAACATTTGCATCGCTCTTAAGTCGAGTCGACATTAATATATGTGCCAGCTTTTTTAACGTTGTGAAATTGTGATTTTCGTTTTTGCATGTTGCTGTGATTTATGTGAAATAGTTATTCATTTAACTACATATTTTTTACTTTAAGTGGGAAGGACTGTAATAAATGTTATGGAATTTTTTAGGTTATGGCAGGAGTTCGAAAGAAGCAATATTATCTCATCAAAAATTAGAATTTTTCGAAGAACTACTTCGAAAATTGCAAGTTAATGATATTGTTATTGTGGCTCCTTCCATAAGTGGATTGTTTGCTGCTCCTTATGTACTCAAGCACAGCTTCCAAGTTGATGGATTGATTACTCTTTCTTCTATTTTTCCTAGTCAAATGAAACTCAATGACTTTGAGCATTTAAATGTAAGTTTTTCTTAATTTATTAAAAAATTTTTATTTATTATATATCATTTTTATTCTTTATAATTTATAGGTACCGATACTATTGATTTACGGAGACAGGGATGATCTAATTGCTAAGAAAATGGCTGAATTTAATAAAAAAGCGGACAATATTTGGATAGAAAAATTACCAAATACTGGATCAAATATTTTGCAAGAGAGGACTTTTATTTTTCATAAATTATTATATAATTTTTTGCGCTATTTAGAAAGAAATTCGTAAATAGGATAAATTTACCAACCTCATCTTCAAATTATTATTCTTTTCGAGATCGAGATCTATGGGAAGATGGAACTACCTTCGAATAGATGGATCGGATATACAGTATTTATTTTTTAAAGGCAATATTACGCGAAAGAAAATTTCATATTCGAAATTTTATACTCCAAAAATTACCAATAATGACAATTACGTAATTTTTAATAATAATACTTTAATAACCTGGTATTTTATCAGTTTAAATTCATAGAAACAATATGTACGAAAATGCCATTAATGACACATTATTATATTTGTATGAATTTTCTTATTATAAATTCTCGTAATATGTCATTTAATTTAATTTAGAAAGATTGTTACAACTTTTTGTATGAATATTAGTAAGAAATTAATATATTTGTAATAAATTAATATGTTAAGGGCTGTTCAAAGCTGTATAGCGGCATGTAAATAATAAATTGTAGTGACGTGTTTAGAGGACGTGTTCTGCAAAACATGAGAAACGCAATTGTGAAAAAGATTTTAATTTCTAAATCGAAGAAATTTGCATTGCGAAATATCTGCAGATGTAAATGACATATAGTTTACTGTATGAAAGGCGTTGCCTGGATTACTAGGCATCAAATGCTGGAAAGCATGCAAAGAATTCATCGTAATAAAATTACTATTACAAAAATGATAACACAATAGAACCTATTCGTTCATATATTCTATATCCTACTTTTTCTTCAATCTATCATACATTACTTTATGCTTCAATCGTATTTATACTACCAATACATTCGATGCTTATAATAAGAAAAACATCAAAATTGCAGCAGTTATCGTTCATTTTTCTCATCACAATCAGCTATAAAAGTAAGTATTAAATATAGTTTCTACTAAGCAAACACATAATCTTGTAGGAAAAAAAATTGTAGAATTTTGAGGTAATAATTTAACACAGATTTTTGAAGATCTTAATAGGAGAAAGAAAATTACTTTCTGATTGAAACAAGAAACTGGATTGGTAAATAGGATTTGGATATCAAAGTGCTCGTGAAACTTTACAAATGTTNGTATATATATATATATATATATATGTACAGTACATATATATGACTTTGCAAACTTAAAATATAAAACATTTTAATTGTACAATATTACAACATTGTATTACTTCTTTAGTCATAGAAAGGATTTTTTACTTATTTAAAAAAAATTAAAAATTCAGTTTCCAGTAAGTCCAGTTTCCATATAAAAAAATGTTTATAAATTTAGGCATCTAACAGGGCTGAAGTTATTTTTATACCTGAGACGGTCTGTTATTCAACTGCACTCTTTGTGACCACTTGAAAGTTATATTCATTAAAAGGAGACTGAACTGCATTATTTTTAAATACCTGCCAACTTCTCAGTTCTCCATTTAATCTTTAAAATGACTAGAGAGGTGACTTACCTCTCTAGTAAAATGATAGAGTGGATATAACCCATTATCTCTCACTCCTAATGTCGAAAAAACATTACCAATAAAAGCGTATTTAAAAGTTTAAAAAATATATTAAAATTATTACTTAAAATTGTGACCGGAGGGTCGGCACCTCTTCGATGCCTCGTCAGGATGGCACCACTGTGTCCCGTTCGACACAAGCCGCGACGGCAATTTGGTTTTTGTTACTGGGTCACCTGAACGGTCGCGTGCGGATTCGGGATGGAGGAGTGTGAGACAGCGTTGGAAGCAAGACACTCAGATACCAGGTTAACAAAACAAATAACCGTTTATTTTTTTTATTTGATGTATAGGCTAGCAGTAGCGAGACAAATAGATATTTGATACTAGAGCGACATCGAAGAGTTTGCGAGAAAGAGAGAGAGTTTACATGAAATCGCGCGTTGTTATAATACTGTAAGGTCTCTTTTTATGCGGTGGATACGTTCTACAGAGAAGCGCATATAAAAAATTCGCATAAAAAAAGACTTTGCTTGCCTTGAAAAAGTAGGGATATGTTCCATAATTTTATAAAATCGCATAAAACCAAAACAACGAGTTAAAATTAACTTAAAACCGCATAAAAAAGTTTGCAGAAATTAAAAGAAATAGGCTGCTTAATACTGCAACTTGAAATCAGCAAAATTTAAACTCGCTACTTATTATAAAAATGAACAAAACACCGCTAAAATAAAATTTAATTTTAAAACAATTACAGTTTATACCTTTTAATGCGAAACTCAGAATGATGTAATAGCGACTTGTCGATGGTAAGTATCATGTACAAGGGGAATCCCCGAATTGCAAAAGCTCACTCTAAAAACAAATCACTGACATCTGGATGTGAAGAGTTAATTAAAANTTAAAATTATTTGCATTTTAGGCCTACGTGGATTGATAAATTTAGGAAACACTTGTTTTATGAATTGTATTGTCCAAGCTCTGACGCACACCCCTCTTCTTCGAGATTACTTTCTTGCTGATCGCCATGTCTGCCAGTTCCAAGATGATCCTTCCATGTGCCTGGTGTGTGAAATGTCCAGGCTCTTCCAAGAGGTAAATAAAAGACAATGAAAATTTAATGTTTTTATTAATATTAATTCCTTAATTGTTGTATTTTATATTTATATACAAATATAAGTTTTTTTTTAAATGAAACACATTCAAGATGCATAGCTATCAGACAAGGAAGAAAGGAAAGATCAAACACAAGCAAATAAAAAGACTAGTATTTAATGAAGCTTACTGTATACAGTGTTTCTCATAAGAAATCACCTTGGCATTTAAGCAGGCATCCTATTGTTTTGGTAAGCAATGAATTCTGTCTTCAAAGAAAGATTTTGGTTGCTGCTTGAATTAATCCTGAACTGTGTCCTTTACGTCCTCATCAGTGTTGAATCGTTCTTCCTTTAGGAATTTCTTTAACAGTCTGAAAAGATGAGTCACATGGTGACAAATCTGGACTGTGTGCAGAATGTTCAAGAACCTCCCATTTCTTATGGGCTAGTGCATCAACAATTACCCTCATGATGTATGGCTATGCATTGTCATGGAGAATGATGACTCCTGAAAACAGCATGCCAGGTCACTTGTTTTTAGTCATATGCAGATTATTGATTATACTGGTGGGTATTGATCATTGGAGTCTTTAAACTCCAGTAAGATGGGTTCTGCATGTTGAAGAATGCATTCAGCATAGCCTTTTTGGGTGGCAGCTGTGTTTTGAATTTCTTTAGGTTTGGGTGAGCCACTGCATGTTGCAGACTTTCCTATTGGAAGGAGATGAAACGTAGTGAACAAGTTTCATCTCCTGATGCTATGCACCATAGGAATTGTCACCTTTGTTACTGTAGTGCATCAAATACTGTAAGCTGGAGTCCATTTACTGTTCCTTGTGATGTTCAGTTAGCATGTGGGATATCCATTGGCAATATATTTCTGGTACTCCAAGTTATAGGAGAAAATCCTATATAGTTCCAACATAAATGTCAAAATCACTTGCGTAATCATGGAAGCACTGTCAATGATCATAATCAGGCTATTGGTCATGATTTTGCACACTTGGCTAAAACATGGCAAATCTGCTGTTTCCTCTCAGCCCTCTTGGAACATTTGCAATCAATCAATAACAGTCATCTTTGACATACTCTTTTCTCTTCACACAGCAACCATTCTCCAATGAATCTCCACTGCTTTGCATCCCTTAGCTGTTAAAAACTGAATTACTGTTTGCTGATCCTGCTTGGACAGGTTTCTAACCACACCAGCCATCGCCAACATAATGCCATGCATCTAAATATGAAGCCAGTGGAAAATTTAAGAATTGTGCATGCACCACATATATGGTTTCACTTTAGCATTTGCATTCCAAACTTCAACTCATCTTGTGGCACACTTTAAATGGGTTTCATTTGAAGCATTTTCTGGATGTAGTGCTGTGCCATCAATGTTTCTTCCACCACCACTATGGGTAATGTAACTCATACAAATGGTTCCTCAGACAGCATGCCAGCAATGGGAGCAGTCTGCCACTCAATGGTAAAGATAAGATTGATTCACTTCCTAGTGGTCTTCCACACTCTAACATGGTGGTTGTTTGTTTCCAAACAGATTCCAGAGGCCATATTCTGGTCACTGTCTCTGGTCTCTCATCTGTCACAAGCCGGTCGCTGATTGGCTAATCCAAGTGATTAGCCAATCAGCGACCGGCTTGTGAGAGACGAGAGACCAGAGACGGTGACCGGAATATGGCCCCTGGTCTCCCAAAGCAATAGACTGCCACCTTGACAGCTTGGCCATCCGGCTTTCAGTTATAAGGGATCGCAAATATACCCGCAGACAATAGCTTTTATATTATTAAATGGGATGAATGACAACTAACAATGAAAAAACAAACTGTATAACAATTTATTAAATTGCATTTCATATGATTTCATATGAAATGTAATCCAAATTTCGTTGATTTCTTTATAACAAATGTGTTGATAGGGATAAAGGAAACATCGTAATCGAGTTTATCACCAAATTAGCCTTATACGATTTAAGAGATAAAAATACATAAATCTCACTAAAGTGTGGCTCTTTTTACAATAACATTATATATAATAAATATTATTATTTAGTTTCTTCATTTCTTATTTAACCTTGATATATATTAGCAATTCAGGAGTGCATTTGAATGTTTTTTTTTCTCACTTTTACTTTTGACATTAAATCGTCGTACTCTATCTATCTAGCCGAGTATTATTTTTTCGTCGATATATCGTGGTATAATGCCAAATGCATTACTTGATATTCTGGTACTTTGATATTTGTAATCAATTACACTGCTTAATGCATAGCAAACATGTCCTTTTGATAATGGCAAAAACAACTCTGTAGTCAATAAACCTAACATTATAAGAACATATTGTGATATATTTTGTGACATTTCACATAATATATCACCTGAAAATAAATAAATATTTTAATAATTTTTGCTGTAAATTATAATATTTTAAGTATTACGTTTATTAGAAAGTTAGTAATTTTTACAGTTTATTTTAATAATAATAAGCTAATAACCATTATATATTAATATTTTAATAACCATTATGTTGAAACCACATGTATATAATATAACGAAACAACATGCCAATATTTTAAGGATAGGTTTTAGGATCAAAAGTAAGCTTAAAAATCTTTATATACATTTTTCAAACTTCGCTTCATTTTCGAGACCTAATCTTAAAAAATAATAATAAAAGGTATTTTTCAAATTTCCCACAAAAGTACTAACACTAAAATTGTAAACTTTTTAAAGTAATTGTGCATTTTTTATGCTTCTGTCAACGGATTGAGTAAATGTTACCCAAGTAGTTCCTACTGTAATAAATATGAACAAAGCCTTCTCCATTTTAAGGCTTTACAGTATTAAAAAAAACAGTTGGAAAGAAAAAGTTTATCGATATAAATAGCATTTCATTTTTTACAAAATTAAACCGAAAAATTTACAAGAATTGCTCAAATGTCCTCTGCGTTTACTTTTTATAAAAACAATTGAAGCACTATACTTGTATTAAAACAAGTTTAATTTCCATGTTTTCAGAAAAACAACTTTCAACATTTAAAATAAAGCTTCAGATTGGATATGTTGGTAAAAACATAAGTAGGGGNAGAATTGCTCAAATGTCCTCTGCGTTTACTTTTTATAAAAACAATTGAAGCACTATACTTGTATTAAAACAAGTTTAATTTCCATGTTTTCAGAAAAACAACTTTTAACATTTAAAATAAAGCTTCAGATTGGATATGTTGGTAAAAACATAAGTAGGGGAAATACGTACAAAATGACATATGGTTTTATTTTAGGTTCATAACTCTGTATTGGTAAAGCACAGCACTGTCATATTCTATACCAATCATCTTTGGTTCTTTACCTATGAAATATAATAAACATTTATAATATAAAAATAATAGAAAAAAATATTGTTAGTTTAATTGCGATCAGCCAAAATTCATTTTGTCCATATGCTGTGGACAAAATGGCAGATTACGTAGGGACAAAATGACATACACGTAAAAACTATAAAATTATTGACAAAGTTCACAAATGAAACGCTTGGTTCTTTTAGAAACGTCAGCGCAAGAAGCGTGAGCCCAAAGCAAACAATAGCACCATAACCAGTCTTCTCCAGGCTTAGATCGTGAAAAAAGATCATCGCAATACAAGGTATATGCATAGACAGTCTTCTTCATCATCATGACAGTTATTAGGAAAATTTTCTTCTTCAAGTAACTTTTTAGTAATGTTTCGTCTCCTTTTCTCTGGCGGAGCTTTGGACTCATTTTTTGATTTAATTGCCTTCATATTAATAGTAGAAGTTAAAACTAGAGGTTTGTCGAGTCACGTGATTCGTTGCAAGTTTTTTGTTATGTGAAAGATAATAAGTTTGTAAATAATATGTAAGAAAGGAAATAAAGTTTTATACTAAAATTTCTTTTAAACAATAATGAANTTGCCTTCATATTAGGAGTAGAAGTTAAAATTAAAGAGGTTTGTCGAGTCTTTGGCTTACGTTTTCTTTGACCATTTATAAAACGTCCTTTTAGAACTGGAGAAATCTCCTCAATAGACACAGCAAGAGTAGAGGACGATGGATATTCTTTAGTAGCAGCAGATGAATGATATTGAATTGAATGAGTTAAAAAAGTTCTTGCTCAGTGTTTGCTGATGGAACCTGAGATGAATTATCGGCTTGTTGTTCGGTAGGTGCAGTTATTTCAGCTGTATTATTGCCGTTATTATTGTATTATTGCTGTTATTTTTTTATAATTTATAAAACGTTAAGAGGTTAAGGTAAGTTCATTGACTGAGCTCTTATGGACTGAATGACATAGGTATGTCATTATGTCCGTTGCCTATGTATGTCGTTTTGTCCATATAACGTTATAAAAAAAAACAAAATTATAAAATAAATACAAAGATGATATTTTTTATGGAAAAAGTTATTTAAGTGCAACAACAAATTCTTGAGGGTAGGAATAAATGCTACACAAATAGATAAAATAGTGAAAAACTTACCATCTATACAAAAAACTTGTTGCAAGGAAAAAAAACTCGTAACGTATCAACGCTTGTCGTCGGCCATGACACTCGGACGAATGAGAGGAGTGCGTTCACATTTTGACAGGTTAGTAAAAGTCGCTCGGATAACGTGGTGTCGTGGTCAGTTGCGCGCTTGAGACCGCCAAATTCGAATTTGAAAAGGTTTATAGAGAACTTTAAACATTATATGTACTGTACCTGTATATACAGTATACTGTATAGTTCATATTTTAGAAATATATGTAAATATGTATTTATAAGCCTAAGATTAACGAATACCGAGATAAAGTTATTTGCAGTATTCTTAAATTTGATTACATTTAACTTAAATAACAAAAATATTATTCCAATGAAATCTTTTAGATAAATTTAGATCAATAACATTAGTAACTCAAATAATCTAATGCAATGAATTTAAGTTTTTAAATGACATTTATATAATTCTATATGATATAGAAATGCTAGAAATATTAGACTATAATTTTTAAAAAGGATAATACAATAGAATTAATATACAGTATGTAAGAAAATTATAAAGTAAAAGTTATCATTCCATCTTCCTAGTTCAGCTATCAAATTGAATTTGCCACTTGTTTCAGTCATTTAATTACAAAATGCTATTGTATGAATACATAATACAGATATTTTGATTAGAACGTTGGTAATAGCTATAAACATTCATTTGTAGACTTTTGAACTTTGCATCCAATACTTTAGTTGGAATTTTTACTGATTTACAAAGTTCAAGAGTCTGAAAATATGAAATTCAGACTTTTTCCGAATTGGAAACATAAATACACATAGAAAAATAAAGTTTATTTCATATTATCATAGTTAAATATATATTTATATGTAAATGATAATAACAGTAATTAAAATAAATTATTAAATTATGTCAGTTTACTTTTTCTTTATCTATTTGATATTTTTATTTATTTAAATTGTTTAAACATTGAACTAAATCAAATGCAAATGAACAGAAATGTAATTATATTAATAAATTGAACATAGAATATAAGGGAAAAATATGTTAAATACAGTAAAACCTGTCTATGGCGACCACCCACGGTTCCTTCAAAAAGTGGTCTTTTAGACAGGTGGTCGTCCAATACAGGTAGAGTCGTAATACCGTATTTCCGTACGTATTTTGCGCACTTTTTAGCCATTTCTACTAAGCAAAACTCGAGGTGAGCAAAAATAAGCGAATTTTTTCAACGATAGGGCTATATTGGTATTGTATTTTATTCTTATCGGATAACCCGATTTACAGGAGTCGTCATGATATTATAAGACAGATTTAATACCAATATTTTAAAGATTAATACAATACTCGCATTTTCTCGATTATAATGCACACTTTCTTTTTTCCGACTTAATTAATTCGACTCGGTTCTTTTCGTTCGCTCCTCAGTTACGTGTATTACGTCATCAATATACAAGCGCGTCCTATCTCTCCATCACTTTGCTTTTGGTTTTCGTTAGTTTAATCTTATTTTAACTTTAAAAATACTGTATTTTTTAAATATTTAATATTTTCTTAATTAATTAAGTACAATAAGAAAAATTATTAATTAATAATAAAACGATTTTATTATTTTTTCTCATTATACGATTTCATTACAATCGCGGAATCGAAAAAGGAAGTAAAACTGATTTTTGCATTAATGCGTTTATTGTTTTTTGAATATTTTGCCTGCGAAAATTACTTGGATATTATTTTTCTAAAAATATCGTGGAAATAAGGTAGGTTGATACAGAAACTATTTATCGCACTTGTACTGTATATGAGCTTCAAAATAAATAAATAAAAATAGATTTTATCAAACGATGAGATCAGCCGATTAATTGTATCGTGTACAATATTTTACACCCCCAAGGAAAATACTGTAGGTCTAGGGTAAAATAAATTTTGTTTTCCCACAGTTAAACTTCGCCGCTAATTGCTGTTGTGATAACTTTAATACGATCTTCTAACGACAGCACTTTGCATTTCGGACATTTTCCAACAAACTGAAATGAATTTCCTTTGTTGCTAGACTAATTTATTAACACCTGCACCTAATTTCAAGGGTGGGAGAAGTGCCCGGGATGGGTTCGAACGAGAGTTTACACTAATTCATTATATTAGGAGGGGGAAACGTTGTTGAGATGGGTTCGAACAATAGTTTAGACCAGATACATTTGCGAAAGTGGTCGCTTATTACAGGTGTTGTATGTTGTTTCGGACCAAAAATCGATGCCCGCGGTCGCGTTACACAGGTGGTCGTTTAATACAGGTAATTTATACGAAGACTCTATGGATAAACTATTCGGTGCCAGAAATTTTTGCCCGTTTTGACAGGTGCCCGTCGAATGCAAGTGGTCGCCTAAGCAGTTTTCACTGTATATGAATTATTCACTTTTTTTTGTACATTATTTAATGATTGAAAAAAACTAAGTATTTCAAACTTAAATGTGTAATAAAAGATTTATGATATTAATTTATTGTTAGTCATAAAAAAAACTTTAATTTATATTAAAATGTTTTTATTTTTAATGTCAAGGTTTATTATGATGTTTAAATTTTAGCATTTTTCCACAAATGCGAGTATATTGCAAGATATTATCATTTTATTTGAAAACATAATTCCAAATTCCAAATTTGTTTGCGAATAATTTTATTGATTACATTCACAATAATAATAATAATAATAATAATAATTCTACTTTCATCTTTCATTAATGGACTATTTCATCAGTATAATTCTACTTTCATGAAAAGTTTCTGTAATTATTTTCAGCAAAAGTAACGTCCATAAAATATTACATGAAATGTGGATAACTTTGTATTCAGGTAAGCAAATAATAAAGATTTAACTTTAACTGTATTCAAGTTCAAGAAAATATTTTATGAAAACTTTTTTTAAATTTTTAAATATAATCTGTCATTGCTAACTTAATAATTTTTGAATTAATTTGTGAAGAAAATACTTCCAATGAACTAAATAATCTTCATATTTAGTTTAATCTTTCTCGTTGGAAAATGAAACTACATTTTTTAAAAATAATAGTATTAAAACTTAGTCCTGGATTTATATAAAGGTATAATAATAAAAAAAAAATAGACCTAACCTTTGTTATAATGATACGAGTTTAAAAACCTGGCATCAAATTTCCAGGCACAACTGTTAAATATCTGAACAAATCATCTGTTCTCCTTCACCTTCGTTCTGTTTCTCCTGTTGCTTTCATTTAATTTTTGGTATTCGCAGCGTTGTTAAAAGGATAAATCTTGTTAACATCACATCTAAACCAATAAAAATTTTGTTTTTTAAATTATACCTATTAAATTTCATTCTTTATAGTAAATATTTCTATAATAAATATGTAGATTATTACATAAATATTTCATAATATTTTGCATCATTATTATTACAAATCTACATATGAAAAAACAACGAGGATGCAATAAATTGTAGAGTAAATTTCCTTGATTTTCCAATATTTTGTATAATTTATTAATCGATCCTTGATTACGTTGTTAATTTTTTGAGAAATTATTTATTTTCAACTATTAATACGATTTTTCTTGAATTTTCTTACAAGAGATCTTATATATTCATTTCTCTGCGTTTTGTGTTTACATAATATTATAAAATTAAGTAACTTAGCTTTAAAGTTGACAACATTAATAACATAGGATTATTTAAAGTTATTGTAAAAATAAGCTACAGTAAATATTTTGTTTGGACACATCAACAACTATATTTTTACCTTATCTACCTCACACAGATACGACCAACAACCCATTTGTATACAACCAAATTATATAGTGCTGCCATCTCTGATTAACAGCGACAATTATTATATATATATTTTAAATATTTTATTGTAAATACATAAATAATAGACTATAATTATCCATAAAAAATTAATTAATTAATGCAAATTACAACATAAAAAATCTAAATTGATAAACAAATATATCCTATTTGATATTATTTTTAATCAATAATAGGAAATAAAATCGAAATTGAATGATAATCTAATCTAATTTTTTTTATTTCTGATGTTTAAGCATTTTCTTTCTAATAATGTTTATAAGTCTGTTTAAAATATTGTATTTATTCTTATTTCTATTGTCACGTGCATCGTTTCAAATTATCAATATAACAACGATTATGATTGGTTGAAGATTATTTTTAATTTTAAGCTTTCTTACATAACAATTATTTAATTCGATATCAAAGAAATTTTCTATTATTTGATAAAATCGAATTAAGAACTATACGTATATAACTGAAAAATATGTATAAACTGAATAAAATTATGTGTAGGCCTATATATGCAGTGCCGGATTGTTCGTAGGCACACGGGGCACCTTCGAATCCCGGTCTTGAGGGTCCTAAATTGAAAAAATAAAGCCATTTTAACGTTGTAATTGTATAATTTATAAATAATTCTATCGCCACAACTAAACATTATTAGTTTATGATGTAAAATTATGTAGAGGAACCTCCAATCTCCTATGTCCATGGGTCGTGGAAGGTCTTAACCACAACTGTATATATGTATACATTTTAAAATTTCGAGAAAACTTTTTAATTTATTCCTGGAATAAAATAAAAATCCTAAATTCTACATTTCAGTGTGTATTTTTAATCTATAAAAGAAAAAAAAAATCAATGTAAATATGATTGATTGTATTAATATAAAGTCAAAATGATAAATTATTGATTTTACTTTCTTTATTTCACTTCAGTTTGCATAAAGTTATAAATTTTGTAACAAAATATTTCTTATTTTAAAGAGAACCTATACAAGATTTGGAAAATTAATTTATAATCTTATATATTAATATAAATCACTTCTTATTAGAGAAATAAATTAAATGAAAATCAATTTTATCCTTCAAAATTTTTTAAATTTATTTATTTTTAATTTAATTGTTAATATTATAACGATTTGAATATTTTTATAATAAGTGATTAAATTAAAAAAAAGTTTTATGGAAAAAAATTAATGATTTATTTATTCTTTACTACGTAATCGATTGTTCATTTTTACTAAACTATAGACTCATAACTCCGAAATACAGTATAACAGTACTGTACAGTAGACTAATAGTTCGATAACTCGTATTTGTACTAAGTTTTCATTCTTTTATTTTGCATAATTAAAGCTTACCGATTCGCTCATTTATGTATTAATGGTATCGATTATCTACAGATAAAAATTATTTAAATGAATCCCTACTGTCGATGCGTATCGACATTATTGATCTTAGTATAAAGGTACAAAAATCTAGTGAATGACCGTTCGGATTTAAAGTTTGTATCTGAACACAAAATATGCAAAATCTTTTCAAAAATTCATATTAAAAACTATTTGCTCCACGTCGATAGCAATTTTAAATATTACCCTTAAAATGTTTTTTTTTTTTTTTTTCTCCTGCTATGAAGCAGATATAACAGGGAAAGGTTTGCTTTTCTTTTATCATTTCTTTTATCCAATTGTATAAAATAATCTAATATAAATTTGAAAAAAAATTGACCCTAGATAAAAGATTAAAAAAGGGAAAATACATTGTTCAAAAAGTAAGAATTGCAAGAAAATCAAATAAATCTTATTTCTCAAGTACGTGAAATTCTAACAATGTTGATAAAAATGAATTGATCTTATCATTTACTTATCATTTGTAATTTTCGAAATATTATCTTTCAAGCTTCTTTCCACTTTTGCATTAATGTATTTATCTTCTTTAATTCTCTCCCCCTTTTTTTTTATACGAGCTTCTCTTCGTTAAGTATGAAAATGGAATTTAACTAAATAAAAATTTATCATGCAATTTATGTTCAATTATTGCTTTTGGAAACTAAGTATTAAAATTCGAAGAATATTTTAAGGAACGAAGACGATTTTACAGTTAAATTGTTGTAAATCAAGAGTGATAGGCAACAGAATATCTTCAACTGTATTAATTCGTGATAAAATTGTCACAGATAAGTTTTGTTTTGTTTTCTCGAGAAGTCAGTATTAGTTGTTACACGTGGCTGATAAAAATGTTATTTAATAGGATCTTTTCTAGGCTTTTATTATTACATGAGATATAATTTATCTCGTAAATAACTCTAAAATGATTTATTTTTATAATGAATTGAACAAGCTACAGCTATTAATATTACTTATATTAAACGGGTTATATTTTTTAGCTTACGTTAATGATTGTAAACCATTTATCTTAATAATCATAGAAATTTAACTAATAATAAAAATGTTGCGTTGATTAATAAAAATAATATTTTTATTAAAAGAAATTTTCTTAAAATATTTCAGCCTTCTAGGATCATGTATCATTGAGGAATCGGATTACTCCTCCAATATATAATTGATAAAAGGTATCACCTGCATCCCTACGGAATGTCAACAAGTAATACAAAAATATAATCAACTTAATCAGTTTTAATTAGAATTATAATATTTTGGAAGGACAAATTTTTTTTTTTTTAATTCATGTTTAGAATGATCTATATGGTAAATAATTATAGAATATGCACTTAAAATCTTAGATCTGTAATGCTTATGATAGTGCAATTGTCATTATTTATATGTACTGTATAGTACTGTACATTCGGCATCCATTAGTTAAAGATTAACAATTAATTTACCAATTACCTGTTTAGCATTAACTTGTTTAACAATTAGTAAACATTTTAAGTAGACAAATTCTCTAATACACACGCACAATCATCAGTGTTGATTTGTATATATATATTGGAGGGTCGGGCCAATGACAATGAGTAAGAAAAATTTCTCATTGTTGTAGTGGATATAGAAAAATTAGACTGCATCTGTTATGTACAATACTAGTTTCTACTTCTAACTTTTGTAATTTGGTGTAAAAAATATACAGGGAGAGTGACAATTTGCTGGTATAGAAACATTGGGGACATGTTCCCTCTGTCCTTTATGCTTCGACGCCAATGCATACAACGTATTTTATGAAAGTTTATATATATATACATAAATAAAAGAATAACAACAATAATAATAATTTTAGAAGATGTGAATATAATATTAAAAAATTTCTCTTCTTTTTTTTATTTTCATGATATCAGAGTTCTAGTTTTAAACAGATGAATGATTAAAACTTGTATCAATGGAGTATCAACAGAAGCTTACCAATTCAAGGTCTTTGAAGGTAAGTCTAATATTTCTACGAGAATACGAGAATTGGCCCATTCTTAACGTTGATAGCATCAAAGGACATTTGAATATATTCTTCGAAGATAATGGATATCATTAAAAAACTAAAACTGGTTTAATCCATTGTTTTAAAATCAGATATACATGTCCTTGATAACAATTACTATTAGAAACTGTAATTAAAATCGTAGATCAGAGGCCAAAGATATTTTTACTTATGTAATCTGACGAGAAACATTTGTTAAATACAAATGTTATAAGATAATTGATATTTTCAGATAATAATTTACGTCAAAACTAATGTTGGCGCCGTAATATAATTCCAAAAAGAAAGAAAAAAATAATAATAATAAAAATAGAAAGAGAGAACAAATACAGAATATTTCACACATTATTAAATTTAACAATTAAAAATAAAATTATGCTTTAATTGCTTAATTTCTTGCAAAATAAATATTTGAAACAGAAATTAATTAAGGTCTAAGTAGGCTACTAAAGTACTTCACTTTTAAAATAAATAAATTTAATATTTATTATTTTAAAATATTTTAGAATTTAAAGTTTGGCTAATTTTTAAAATTTTTTTCCTAAATTAAAAATAAATAATAATTGTTTGTAAAATATCTTATTTCATTTTAGAGAATTCGGAATGGAGTATTATAAAATGTAAATGAGTGGCGAAGCGTCGTTAAAAAGAGATGTTTCGTTAGACATTGATCGTTTCAACACGTTTGTAAAAAGATTTGAGTATTCAATTGCAAGGTAATAATAAATAAATTCTTTTTAATCTACCATTTAAGTTAAAATCTGACCTCGTAAGTGTCGTTTAAGTGATTTTACACAATACAATGCTAATATTTTAATCATAATAAAATTTCAAAATAATTATAAATGAGGATAAATCGGTCATAATATGATTAAAATTCTACATCCAGGTTTTAATTTTAAATAATTATCGTACGTTATCTTCTACGATTTTAAGTTTTGTTTCCGATAAACCTTACGACCGTATTCACAACTAATAATCAAGAATGAGAATTATAAATTAACCAATTATCATTGGCTTTTAGTACGCGAACGCTTATTGGTTAAACTTTTAACTCTTGATTGTTGGTCGCGAATGAGGACATTTAGTGTTTATACTTCGAAGGTATTCGATCGTAAAATATTGTAAATGATTAATAATACATTTTAAACTCCGTGTATGTATTTGAATTTAGATCTGTTTATATAAAAACTTAAATTAAGATTACTGTTCTGTTCCCTCCTCAATATTTTTCAATCAAAAAATCCAAAAGCTTCAAGTATTGATTCTGTTGTTTATGTTATTTTCTTTCAGTTTTATTAGTTTAAGCCAATTCGAGGTGCAAAATTGTTACAAAAATAACAGATTTATCTACTTCCATTCTATTATTTCTTTCTTTTTTTTTCCGTTCAAAATTCTTCAATTTGCCGAATAAAATGTAGGGAATCTGATAGAAATGCTATTTCAACTGTCAGATGTAAGGCATAAACTGTCTTCTACTCAAATGAACTGATAAAAGAGAATGCTTTCTCTAGTAACATCAATATCAATCAACACTTGTTTTATTATTTCCTATAACATAAATTCTAAAATCTATAGACCATTTAAAAACTTTTTTTTTTTGTAGATTTATTATTTAAAATAATTATTCATATAGAATAAAATAATTGCTTTCTCCTTGACCTGTTTACTTAATTTTTAATCAGAATTACAATAAAAATCATTTTGTAATTAATCAATAATTAGTTACTTTATCGTGTTGAATGGGAGAAGATAATCGACGGACCCCAACAGGAGGTATGTGTGTTCCAATCAGCTGACGAGTATCAACAGATCAAGGGCGAGAATTATCATTCTGTAGAGATGGAAATAAATCTATGGAGGTTTGCTGATCTAAGTTATCTTTTTTTTTTTTTATTTTAATCTCTATAAATGTTCAGTGATTGGAAGTTTCTTTTTATATATTTGTATATATGAAACCTATTTCTAACGTTTGACTTTCGTATTATTTATAGTGATCTAGCGTAATAGGTTATTAATATCTTTCGAGTTTTATAACCTGTTTATCCATTAAAAAAAAGGGGAAAAAATTATTTCTTAATCGAAGTAACAAGTACTTCTCTATTATGAGAAGTTTTAAAATATAAAAACTTTTTTTAATATAGTTTAACGTTCTAATCTCTCTCCGAATTATTTGATATTCTGATGCGAATAGGTTTTACTTTTTCTTCTGAAAAGATAGAGGAAGTTCTCGTATAATAAATTAAAATTAAATCAGTTAATTCTATCAAAATTCGCTTAAATTTAATTCTTCGTTGTAAATCTTTTCGTTTCGCAATTCAATAATATTTTCGATATCGACGTAGCAATTCTCGATTTAAATATTTGGTCTTTATATCAAAAAATTTTTAAATTCGAAAAAAAATATTGTGGAAGTCACTGTTACAGGTCCTATACCATATTTGGTCAAGATTTAGGGACATTTTGTTAAATTTGCATGGTTTCGAGCAACGTCATACCCGGGATGTCGTTCTTAGCGGAATATAAACTGCTTCCGTTTCCTTTCGCCAATTACTGTAGCTGAGGGCAGTTTCCGTTCGATCTTTCATTCATTTAAATTTCTAAGAAAATTTCAAGAAATTTTTTTTAATTTTTTCGTATATGAATAACAATTACAACAGATCTTCAGGTAACAATTTTGAATATATATATTTTTTCCTATATGTAAATGATCGCTCAGCAATAAATAAAACTAAGTTTTCGATAAGATATAACTGCTTATCTATTGGTTTCATTGAATAATTTTCAATTTTTCATTGTATACTAATTATCTAAAATGTGATAAGATTTATTTATATTTTAATAAACTAGTCGGCACTTATTTTGCAGTAGTTTTCAATGAAAAAAAATCCGTTAATTCTTCAATATATCTTTTCTTTTTATGCTGTTTATATCTTTTAACTAATTTATTTATGCAATGTAATTATTTTCAAGGGTATTAATTTATTTTATTTAAATTTTAAACAATAATTATTTGTAGGGAATCAATTCTTGAGTTTTTTGTTTTTTAATTATACAATCGAGATCCTAAAATTGCTTTCGATCGAGTTTGCTCTCTAATATCTCAATATAGATGAGTTAGATAAGGCCGAGTGTACTTAAACATACTTGAACAATTCTTAATAGCAGATATACTGATTACATTCTACACGTAAATCTTAGACATGAAATATGAGTGAATGGTCACGTATATGCTTCTTTAACTAGAACACCGGCTTTTGAAAACGTGAATATATATATATATATATATATTGATTATTAAAATCTTCTGGTTAGAAGAATTAATTTTTCTCTGAATTATTACTGATACAACTTAAGTTTTTATATAATAATATATCAAGTTTTAAAATTATTTTTTTATACAATCCTATTGCAAAACATGTTTACTAGTTTTAATATCTAGATTTAAATATTTAAATTGTATCGATTTAAACATTGTTTCAGATTTACTTATGCGTATCATTCGATTAAATATTAGGGTAAGGATATTTGAACTTAAGTGAAAAATCTAAATATAGAGTTTGATTTCTCTTGATCTATATAAAGGTATTTTTTTTTAGTTTAGGAGCACTCGTAGATATGTACAGACAGGTTATGCAATTTCGATTCTTACCATTTTCTAATAGAATTACATATTTTTTATCTTAATTTAAAATCTTATTATAGCAGAGATAATTTTCTATCAGCATGTTTTCTATCTCCCAACAATATCTTGAACTCTGCACTCCCGATAAGAGCTGTATTGTTTTTCTATCAATCGAAATCAGTAAAATCTAATACTTAACATTTTGTTCTTAAAATTTAAGAATACATTTTTAATTTTTTAAATGATTTATTCAGCTATTTAGTTTTTTAAGGTTTGTAAAAGATTAAGTAGCTTAAATCAGATCAATAAATTATATAAAATAGAAGAATAGTCTTTTAGATCAATTGATAAGCTATAAGCAAAATATTTTCTTGTAGAATTAAATGTAATAAAACTAAATTTATGTTTTAATCATTTTATTTAAGGTTAGTTTTGTTTCATACTTTTATGAAATTAAATTAGAGATATTCACAAAGCCTACATATCCTACGAAACTTTTTTAATACTGTATTGATCTTCCTCAGTAATAATAATAATAATAATAATAATATGAAGGCCAAGTATAAAATTGTCACGTGACTAATCTGAATGGCGCCAGAAAAGAATGCAAGCGATATGATAGATAATGATATCTATAAAAGTGATTTTTGCTTCATTCGTATCTTTCGAGGAACAATATAGGGCACTGATACACGGGGGCAACTGAGATTTCTTTGACGTCAAATCTCATCCACGATTTACCCTGCGTGAGAAATGTTTTGACTGCGATCTATGCTTTATCCAGATGTTGTTATTTATATTTAGTTGTATTAACGAAATTGCTTAAATAAATAAACTTATTTAAGGTATTTATCAAATTTTAGATCGGATAATATTAAGTTTAAAAATTTTACATAAAACAAATTATTTATTTTTTTTTATACATAAGTTTTAACTTTTTAGCAAAGTATTTGATTAAAATAAACTTAGGATTATTTGCAAATGAAATATTTTCTATATTCCAATTCTCTTATAAAAGCATCTATTTATCAGTACCAACTATAATTGTCAGTACACATTGTATTGAATTTCCTCATTTTATTATTATTTACATATTTAATATTTGTAAAATACTTTGTCATCTGCATAAAACGATGTTTGCTTTAATCTAATGTCTAATGTTAACCTCGTGATGCGTATGCATTGTTTAAGCTTGAACCTGTTAACTTCTGCCTGTATTCTATCGATGAAGTTTGTTTGTCTGTCAGATAACATTCTGAATGGAAACCACGCGGCAATCCAAATCCCTCCCCAACTAGCCCGTTAGCCAATCGCTATCGTGGACCTATCGGTGCTACTCAATATAAACGATTGTTCGACTTAGCATACTTGTATACGCTTGTAACTTAAAGTTTATGTTGTAATTAATAGATTATTTCGATTTATATGGAACAGTATTTTTTACGTTTGTTTTAATTTTCAGAAATGGAAGATTTTTTACCACTCTGTTCTAGTATGGAGAGGGAAAGTTGGACTCTTCAAAAACTTAACTCGTCAGACGATGACAGCAGTGATATCAGTGCTGAAGGAATATCTTGCGACAGTTGGTCGTTGGATAATTTAGAAGTGGATGCTTACCTCGACTATTTGTTTCCACCTTCTCCCGGAGATAGAATACTAGATAGAAACTTAAAGATTATAGAAGATTATCTCTTTCCAGATGAATCGGATCAAAATACCCCTTGTAACTGGTTGCAGCAGCCCGATCTCCAGTCTAACTGGCAGAATAATATTTATCAAGAAACTACTTCAAATTGTTGGATAATGCCTTGTGGAAATTTCGAGCCTGTGCCTCCTACCACTACTTCCGAACAAGATATGGTAGTGTTAGGAGTTGATCTTAACTCGTTGTCGTCGATACTGTTAGAGGATTATCAGCAGCAAACTCTTCCACCGACCAGCTATGCTCCTAGAAATTATGTGGCGTCTCAAAATGTGAATATGTCAATGGCTCCTATTCCACCAGCCAAGAGACAAAGACAAAACATGCTACCAGCTAATCCAGCATTTTCTATGAATGTTCCTAGCGCGGTCGTTGGTGGAAGGAGGACCAATTCCAGACAATCTTCGAATAAGGAAGAAGAAAAGATATTTCACTGCACGTACCAAGGGTGTACGAAAGTTTATTCGAAAAGTTCTCACTTGAAAGCTCATCTGAGACGTCATACAGGGGAAAAACCATTTGCTTGCCAATGGCCGGGATGTGGCTGGAGATTTTCTCGATCGGACGAACTAGCTCGACACAAGAGATCCCATTCAGGTATAAAGCCTTATAACTGTCATATTTGCGAGAAACGCTTTTCCAGATCGGATCATCTAGCTAAGCATTTGAAAGTTCACCGAAGAGAGAAAATGATAACGTTGGTCTCGGGGCAGACAACTTCTTATAGATCAACTGTATCTATAGCATCTTCATCAACGAAATAGAGATCGGAATGTTCTGCTAGTGGATCAAAAATAAGTGGCATTTGAAAGTTAGAATATTTAGAAAGTCAAGTTTCGAAATTTTCGAAACAAAATACTCAAAATTGTGTTCTGCTTAGGGGAATCTAAGCCTAAAAAAAGGACAAGTTTTGCCTGTTTACAATTTCGTTTCCGTTCGAGATATAGTTAAGAAATTCCAGGAGGTCGTTAGCCGAACTGAAACTCCGGAAGCCTTCTTCGTAAGGCTGTTGTTTTTGAAAGAAGTGAAACAATTGCGGCTGTCGAAACATTTCCATACTCAACATTCCATGAAATTTATTCGTTTTGTCTTCATTTGTTAAATAACTAAACTTCCAGTTTCTGGATTTTTTTTTCTTTTTAAATGATTGTTCATTAAATATCATTCTATTGTATACGAATGTTTAATATATATATTTTCCTTTTTTCGAGAAAAATTAATGTCCTAATTTTACTTTCCTAACTGAAAACTGTTTTCTAGGTTTGTGAAATTTGTAATTTGTATTCAAAAAGTTTTGAACATAATGTATATAGAAGAGAAATTAAAGGTTTATAAATAACATTTTTCATGCATTGTCATTTTAAAAATCTTAAGACAGACACATTAAATGATTCTAATTATTCTTACTGTTATACATTAACAATTTTAAATACCAGTAGTAAATAAATGAAATATTCCGCAAATTAAATCTCCTTAAAAATAAACTATTACATGTTCGAAAATAGATGAAAATAAAGTTTTGTTGCATTAAATACTACGTTAGAATCTTTGATTTTTGCTCGAATAGGATTTTTAACACAAATCTAATATAAAGATTTGTGAATTTGATCTTAATCAAATTTAAATCCTCGATGTAATTAAAATTACTGTTTCCTTTATCAATCTATCAAATTGACATTAATTCCTTTCTCTTCAAACGTATAATTAAGCGTAAATTCTTGTGATTTTGAGTTGTATTCTGTAATTGCACACACAATATCAAAAGCAAGTTAATTTCCCGGTGAAATACTTGTCTTGTTAGCAGTAATTGTCTTTTTTTTTTTTTTTTTTAATCTATAAGTGATCAATTTTTTCTCCAATTTAGAAACACTGATATTACAATACATTATTCGAAGTCTTACCATAAATGTTTCTAATCCTATAAATAGGAGAAAGATGAAGAAATATAATTAAGTTTATAAAGAAAAATATTCTTGAACTGTCAAAAATTTTCGATTATTTAATCCAATTATTAAAGGAAAATTCGGATTTTAAATGATCTTAATACTTTTCAAGAAATTTATTTTGTATAATTAATCTCGAATTAAGTTCAACTGAAAGGAAAATTTTAAAAATATGTGTCAAAATTATTTTATAGATGATGGAAAATCATTTTTACTTCATATTCTTAACTAAAAATTATAAAAACGAGTTAAATTTGACAGTTTTATTGATTCTTTTATTGACAAAATTCCCAATTAAATGTATTATTTAATATATGCTCTCTCGCGTACATAATAGAAGTTCACTTTTTCTCCATTTTATAAGTTTCTATGATTTAATACTTGAAATCATTTTAAATATCCAGAAATAAGTAGTAATTTCTATTTAGAAAGAATTAATACATATTTTTTAGATTTAATAATTATATAGACACGTTGAAAATTAACACCAGGCTCTAATTATTGACGCTTTTGTAATCAATTTTTAAGAATTGATTTTCAATTACAGTAAAACCTGTATAAAACGGAACAAATGATTCGATATCCTGCGATTCCGGTTTACACAGGTTTTAATTTATATTTAACAGCTGGTTTGTTAATTTTCAAACATTTAAATCGAAAATATAGATCGAAATTTACACTGATTTATAGGAATGAAACTATTATTCAACTTCTTTTTAAAAGAGATAAATCTTCATTATTTTGGCATTTCTCATTTGAGAGATATTCAATATATTATTTGATCGATTTTTTAAATTATTTTATTTTCTAAGGGAAAGCATTGATTATACATATTAAGATTTAACACAAGCTGATAACAAGTTTTATCACAATCTATTCGAGTTGGTCACTCGAACTGCTACAGATATATAAAGTTACGAGATGGCAACGACTGTTTGTGGGCCAAAGGCGATATCTCTATGTTGTACCACACGTAAAACGTCACAAAAGTTATCTAGTTCCCCCGAAAAAAAAATTTCCCAATAGAATAATACGTGAAAACAATTTTATTTCCATACAGTTCCATTATGTCAGTAATAATAATAATGATAATAATAATAATAATAATATGTATACATCAGCGTCAATGTGTGGTAAATTCGTATTTAAAGCGAACGGCATTATTTAACGGAAACAACAATGTTTATCAAAGCCTAAATCGGGAAACTAATTAAATGGTTTCGATAACAGGGCACGTGAATAGTGACCCTGGCCCCTTTCTACCAGCCCCGAAATGTCTCTCTAGTCGTAAACATTCGCCAACGGAAGCGACTACTTCCTGATGTTATTGACTCTACTCGGTACCGATCTCCACTAAAATAATACTTTTCTCTTGTTGAAGCTATGTAATTTATCAAGAGACACGTCAATATGTCTGTCTGGCTCACTACGGATTCGCAAAACTTGGCTCGTCTATCTAAAATAAAGGAAATTCCGTTATGATAGGAAAATTTAATACAAAAGATCTTAAAAAAAATCACTCTTCTATACATGCTATAGATTTGATATTTATAGTTTCTCTTGCACTTATTTAATTGAATGTTATCGCTATCAATAATTGTTTTTAAGTATTTCAACAGTTTAAAATATTTGATAAGAAGAGATATTGGAAGTAATTTCTTTTCGACTAATCTCTATATAGATTACAGCCTTTGATTTATTTATATTACGTGTTTTTTTTTTTAAATTTACCTATGCTTAAAACAATAGTGACCAAAAATTAAAGGCCATAAATTAAAAGTATAGTTAACAATTAAGTGGCGCCATCTTCTGGAGAAACTGTAATTATACCCAAAAATTCTTATAAATTTATTTAGCAAGCGTTACGATAGGGAAAATAAAAGCAATTTTGTCTAATATAATAAAAACCTAGCCAAAATGATAAATTGCTGATATGTTTAAATATTATACGTAATTTTTTTTTAAACGTTTAGTTATACAATCTCCTCGTAAGCTGTCCACTACCTAATTATATTAATAAGAGAGTAATCTTATAGAGCGTGTCAATGCATGTATGTGGTCAGCATTTTAATTAACCCAAACTGATGAAAAACTGCAGCAATAAACATTAGCTTGCTTAATGAAAACCATACAATTAACATAATGCGATGTTATG